GTGATCGCGTTGGCCGTGCGCCCGGCCCGGTGGGTCTCGCTTGGGCCGCTCGCGGCCGCTCGGTCCCAGCCGCCCGCCCCCGCCGCACTCTGCCGCCGCGTCTGGCTCGCTCCGCACCGGCCACCGCCTCCCCTTCCCTTCCGGCGGGGGCGGGGGGCGGAGCTTGCACTCCTGGCGCCCCCTACCCACGCGGAGCCGCGGATCCCCGCCCCTGGGCTGGGGGCGCGCCTCCCCCCCCCCAGCCTCCCCTACACAGGGGTCTCGGGTGACAGCCTCGGAGTCCCGAGGGACAAGACTCCCGCAGCTTGGGGGACCCCGGAGTGCACAGCCCAGGTGGTATGGGGCTCGGTCACGCTGCCGGAGGTGCACAGTCGGGGATGCACGATTCCCCTCAGCCCAGGGGTACCGAGATTCACAAGCTGGGCATCTTGGGGCACACAAGTCCCCCCACCTGGGGGTCCCCAGGATATATAGTGCAGGGATTCCTGAGAAGATGTCTCTTTCCCATTCTTGCGTCCCCCACATGGATCCTCCAACGCCTGGCGGGCACCGTCAGGACCCAGGTTGTGAAACAAGCAAACGTTAGCAGAGGTACCCAAGTCTGTGCTGAGAGCCACCAGGGCCCAAACAGGGTTTGTAGTGGCCTTCTCCATGCAGGTGGGCCTTCAGGCATCTCACGTCTACCCCGGCCAAAACCCCATCCTTCCAGGTGCTCGGGACACCCATGTGCCACCAGCCTGGCCTAGGTTCCAGCCTAGCTCGCCGAGGCTTGGGTGCCACATCCCACGGTGGCCCCATTCCCTCCTCACGGCGGCCCCTTTACCTCCTGGCCTCGCTTCCCTGCTCTGCCTGCTCCTCAAACACGCCAGGTGCAGGCCATCCTGGGGCCTTTGTGTGCGCGTGCAGGAGCCTCTGCCTGAAGGCTCCTCCCCCATTTAGCTGCGAGATTCCCTCTCTCTCCTTCTTCAACTCTTTCCTAAATGCCCAAGTCTCACTTCCCACTCCCTAGCCCCTGCCCTGCTTTCTGCCCGCGGTCCTACCCAGTGGATTTTACTTGCTCCTGTGTTTTGTCTTCCTTCTCGCCCTGAACCGCCACTACACTGAGATCCAGCGGCAGGAACTGATTCACAACTGGGTGCCTAGGCTTAAGCCAGGGCTGAGCACACAGTAGAAGCTGCATAAGTGCTTGTTGAATGCTTGAAGCAGCAGCAAGGGGCACCTTATGGCAAGCAGGGACTGCATGTGCAAAGGCCCTGGGGCAGGAAAATGGAGATGCTGAAGATCCACAGTGAGCCAGGCTGAGAGGAGGGGGGTGAGGCCCTCGGGGGGAAAGCAGGGAAGCCATTTAGTAGTTCCAGGCGGAAGGACAGGACGACAATCAGATTTTGGTTTTACAAAAAGAGACTCCCTCTGGTTGTGTGGGGACAAGGCACCCCATGAGGCCAGGAGAGGAGGCTGGGGCCGTCCAGGCCAGAGATGGTGGCTGTGCTGGCCTGGATTGACCTTAAGTTGGGTCTATGGGAGAATTTCAGCATAACCCCAGGCTTAGTGCTAGAGTAATCGCTGCCGCCCTTATCCATGGGCCACCTGGTTTGGGGGCTAGAGAGAAGCTCTTTGATGCGGTGAGTATGAGGAGCCGATTAGACCCCTCCCCCCAACTTTGTGAAGTGGCAGCTGAATATGGGGTGGGGGCTACAAGAGAGGCGGGGGTTGGCCACAGGCCACACACTCTGAGACACGAGGCTTCCCTTTGCACCCCAGTCCTTAGGGCCAGAACGGTCAAGGCACTGAGGCTGGCCCCGGGGAGGGCGGGGGTCTGGAGGCTGACTGGGCCTCCATCTGCCACGCGGATTCTGGGAGCGCCTGCCTGGACCAGAGCAGCGAGCGGGGCGCAGCCTCTAGCACGTAGGGAGCCACGAAAAGTGGCAGACTCAGGCCCCGGTATGAATGCGTCCCTCCCCTGTCCCTTTTCCCTCCTGGGATGGAGCCCTCGCCCCTCCGCCCCCGAGTCCAGGCCCTTCCCGGGGTGAGCACCATCCAGATCCTGCGCGTTCCCGGAGCTCAAGGGGAGGGGGCTGGATCCCAGCCGGCAGGCGCTGACCGGCGTGAGCGCGGGGGCGGGGCGCTGACGTCAGGACTGCAAGCGAGGCTGCGCGGGCCGCGGCTGACGTCAACGGAGCTCCGGGCCACCCGCGCACGCGTCCCTGCGTCAGCGCCGCGCGTGGGCGGCAGGCGGGTGGGGCGCGGGGCGTGTGTTCCCGGGCTCGGGACGCCACCTGCCGGCCGGCCGAGAGCGCGTGCCGTGCCTCTAGTACCTGCACCTGGAAGCTCAGCCTGCCATCCACTCCCCTGACTCTGCATTTTCCCCTTTTAAGCATGCGCCCCCTCTCTCGCTTATTAGGTTGAATATCTATGTTGAGCACCCCGTCCTGATATTTCCCTGATGTCCTTCCAGCCCTTGGCATCTGTTAGAACAAAATCATATTAAGCCAATAATAGACACAGGTTTATTTAATATGCGATTTGTAAATAGGGGTAACATTTCAACTAGGGAGTCAAAAATATTCCGTAAGACTAAAGAACTTCCAAACATTCTTATACTCCATGTTATCTACATTGCCATGGAAAATAGGCCAGAACAGTGAATTTACATAACAATTTACCCTAAAACATAACTCTTAGTCTGACCTTGGAGTTTCCGTTTATTGAAACTGACTGCACATAGAGAATGCTTCAGAAGAACACAACGCCTAAGCAACACGGTCTTAAACCAAAAGCAAACCCACTGCCATCAAGTCGATTCCAACTCAAGAGACCCTATGAACTGCCCCATAGGTTTCCAAGGCTGTAAATCTTTAAGGAAGCAGGCTGCCACATCTTTCTCCCATGAAGTGGCTGGTGGGTTCGAACGCTGACCTTTTGGTTAGCAGCTGAGCACTTAACCACTGTGCCACCAGAAACCCATTGCCATCAAGTCGATTCCGACTCCTAGCGACCCTATAGGTCAGGGTAGAGCTGCTCCCATAGGGTTTCCAAGGAGCACCTGGCGGATTCGAGCTGCCAGCACTTGACCACTACACCACCAGGGTTTCCACTACACCACCAGGGCTCCTTAAAATGGTCTTTACTGTGTTACTTACTAGGCTACTGTTCGACTTAAAGGTTACTTTAGGAAACCAGTTTGCTCAAGGCTCAAGGTTCAAAACGACTTCTAAGGGCAATAGCCGGGTGGGTCACCCCAACCCCACGGACCCCAGAAATCTGGATTCCACGAGAATTAAGTTTCTCAAATCCAATGAGCAGTCTAAACATCATGAACTAAACTAAAGCCCAGGCGCCCCCTCCTCTGTGCAGGCTCCTTGGTGTCCCTCAAGCAGAGCCGTCTGGCCGCCACTGACCGGTCACCAGGGAGCTCGGGGTTCCCTCCGGCTGACCTAGGGCACGTCCTCTCGGGACCCGGAAGGAAACTACAACCCCAGCATGCTCTTGCCCGTCGCGGCGTCAACGTCGCGCGCGGCCCGCTGGGAGTCGTAGTTCGCGTCTGCGCCGTGGCGCGGACTGCCTCTCCCAGACGTCCCCGCGCGCCGTCCTCTTCGCCCTCCAGGCCGCCGGCGCTCGGCCGGAGTCTACCC